TGTCTCTCTGCTTCCAGAGAGAAATAGAAAACAGGAAAACCAACCTTGTCCGAGCAGAGGATCACACTAATCCAAACTGATCCCAACTTTCCATTTCTTCAGAATTTACTTCATTTTTCAGCCCCCTCTCCTTCCTGAAGGCCCAAGGCAGCTTTTCCTGCTCGGCCACTGCCCACTCCAGGCTGGCAGCAGTGAAACTCCACTCCCCAAATCCCCATACATCAAACCTGGTGGAGTTCTGCCCTGCCTGGGGAGGTGGCACCTCCATCCTCACAGAGCAATTCTCCACCTTCTTTTCCCCATTGTCCTTTTGGGGTGGTTCCATGCAGGAGAAGGCTCCTGGATGGGTGGGATGAGCAGGAGTGGTTCCCCTGTCCCAGCTGTGTGTTCCAAGAGGCTGAAGCATGTTCCAAACCTCCCAAAGGCTGTGGGAGCACCTTTTCCTTTGGAACCTCCTCCCTTCCCAGCTCCACAGACCCCAGACTCAGCCACACATCCCAGGGGCACCCCAGAGCCCCCCCAAACCCCCAAAGTGTGGGGAGAGCTTCAGGACCTTCACTGTTTCCCAGCCTCTCCCTGTGAGACAGCAGGAAAAGGAGGAGGAAAAGGCACTTCCCACTTCCCTGCAGCTCCAAAGAGGCTTTGCAAGGATGGGGTGAAGGAAAAACCAGAGTCCAGGAGATGACAGGAAGGGGAGGAACAAGAATGGGGATTCTGGGGGTGCAGAACTCCACATCTCACCTGCCTGCTCCCACCACCAGTGTCACTGCCATATTTTCTGAAAAATCCCTTCACCAGGATTTCTTCTCCTGGGAAGATGAGAAGCCTCAGAGAAAAATGTAAATAATAATAACCTGACGGCTTCTCATGTGTTTGGCTGCTTTGGAACGTGGTTTGGGACATTGTTTACCAACAGGTGAATGTTTGATTGGTTCCATGTGAATTGTTTTTACTTAATGACCAATCACCATCAGCTGTGTCAGACTCTGAGGAGTCAGTCACGAGCTTTCATGATCATTCTTGTTAAAACTTCTGTCTGTATGTTCTCTTTTTTTAGTATAGCTTTAGTATAGCATTCTTTAATAGAATATAAGTACATAAAATAATAAATTAGCCTTCTGAGAACATAGAGTCAGATTCTCATCTCTCACCTCGTCCTGGGGACCCTCACAAACTCAACACCACCAGGGATTTTATTTTTAAGCTTCCCTTATGGTCATTTTGGAGCTGACTAAAAAGGGACATTTCTGGATTTTACTACTCTCAGGCTGGTGGCAGAGCCCAAAAAGAACCCTCAAAAAAGATTGAAAAATGGAGCATAGGGAGCTTTTCCTTTGTGCTATCCTGAGTGCTCAGAGGTGGTTTATCCCAATTTCTGAGATGCTCCCAATGCTGTCCCACCATGGAGAGCATCCCTCTTGTACCAGTAAGAGACAGAAATTATCCAAAGGAGGATCCCAAACCAGCCCAAAACCCCAGCTGTGAGGAAGGAGAAGGCGCCAGATTGAGCAGGGAATGGTTTTGTACATTCAGAGTTTATATTTGGAAAAAAAAAAAAAAAGAAAAAAAAAGAGAGAAAGGAGACGAAGAATTCGAGATTAAAAAAATAGAACTGATGGGAAGCGGTAGCGGAGCCTCCACCACTGCACAACACACGCACACGAGGACACACGAGGCTGGACAACACGGACCCCCGGGACACAGCAGCCCGGGGGGAACGGGAAACTCTGCATGGCTTTGTGGGACCCCTCGGCTGGGAAACGAGCCGCTCCTCCGTGTCTGCCTTGGCACATCCCTGAGTCACACTCCTGCTCCTCGACGGCGGCGTCGAGGCGCCTGAATGTGGGCACGGGGGAAAAGGGGAAAGAGGGAGGGTGTCATCAGTGGAAGACACAGAATCAGAGATACTTGGAATTGTTCAGGTTGAAAAAGGTGTTTAAGATCAACAAATCCAACTATCAGCCAACACGTTCACCACTGGCCATGTCCCCAGGTGCCACATCCAAGTTCATGGAACTCTTCCAGGGACGATGGCTCCACCCCTGCCCTGCACAGCTGTGCCAAGGCTTGGACAACCTTTCCACAAAGGAATTTTCCCCAGTATCCAACCTGAACCTTCCCTGGTCAACCTGAGGCCATACCCCTCCTTCTGTCCCTGTCCCCTGGGAGCCATGTTCACCACTGGCCATGTCCACAGGTGCCACATCCAAGTTCATGGAACTCTTCCAGGGATGATGATGGCTCCACCCCTGCCCTGGACAGGTGTGTCAGATCTTGGACAACCCTTCCATGAAGGAATTTTCCCCAGTATCCAGCCTGAACCTTCCCTGGTTAATCTGAGGCCATTCCCTCTCCTTCTGTTGGGAGCCATGTTCACCCCTGGCCATGTCCCCAGGTGCCACATCCACATTTTTGGAAGTCTTCCAGGGATGATGGCTCCACCCTGCACCAGGCAGCTGTGTCATGGACAACCTTTCCACAAAGGAATTTTCCCCAATATCCAATCTGAACCTTCCCTGGTCAACCTGAAGCCGTTCCCTCTCCTCCTGTCCCTGTTCCCTGGGAGCCATGTTCACCACTGGCCATGTCCCCAGGGGCCACATCCAAGTTTATGAACTCTTCCAGGGATGATGGCTCCACCCCTGCCAGGGACAGGTGTGTCAGATCTTGGACAACCCTTCCATGAAGGAATTTTCCCCAGTATCCAGCCTGAACCTTCCCTGGTTAATCTGAGGCCATTCCCTTTCATTCTGTTGGGAGCCATGTTCACCACTGGCCATGTCCCCAGGGGCCTCGTCCACATTTTTGGAACTCTTCCAAGGATGATGGCTCCACCCTGCACCAGGCAGCTCTGTCAGGACTTGGACAACCTTTCCATGAAGGAATTTTCTCCAATATCCAACCTGAACCTTCTCTGGTCAACCTGAAGCCGTTCCCTCTCCTCCTGTCCCTGTTCCCTAGGAGCAGATCCCAAATCCCCCTGGCTCTCCCCTCCTCTCGGGGAGTTGTGCAGAGCCACAAGGTCCCACTGAGCCCTTCTCTCCAGACTGAGCTCCTTTCCCAGCTCCCTCAGGAGCTCTCCAGACCCTCCTCCTTCTGTTCCAGCCCTTCTCCAGCTCCACTCCTAGCTCTGGAGATGCCCCCAGCCCCTCAAACCCTCTCAGGGTGTAGGATCCCAGGATTCCAGGTGCAGCTCCCACACTTCCCTGCAGAGAGAAGCTGGTGGCCATGGTCCCTGCTGCTGGTGGCCATGGTCCTGCTGCTGGTGGCCATGGTCCTGCTGCCTGTTCCCAGGAGTGTGCCCCTTGCCTAGCAGCACTGGCCAGAGCCCAGAGGGGCCATGGGCCTGTGCTGTCCCCACAAGGCCACCCCACAGCTGAGCCTTTACCTCCTTCCTCCCGGCTTCAGAGCGTTTCTGTGTTCATGGTCAGAGCCTTCCATACCGTGGTCTTGGACATCTCATCTGAAATGTTGATCTCGGAAGGATCAGCCCTGCAAGGAATATTCCAGATGGTTTTCCACGAGGATGGGTCTGATCCCACCAGGAGCACTGGCAGTGGCCAGAGGAACAGGAGAGCCTGGAAATCTGGAGCTCAGCTGGTGGGGTTGGTTTGGCTGGATGAGGAATTTTGGGCATCAAGGCCCAGAGCTGCAGACCCACAGTTGGTGTTTTCTGTTTCCCCCTGACCTCTCAGGTGGAAGCAGATCCCAGGAAACCACTGGTGATGTAGTTTTGGGATAAAACAGGAATTATGCAGCCATAGTGGGGTCAGAGCTCTGTGACCTCCTAAATTTCCAGTAAATTGGGATTTTCCCACTAAGATGATTTGGGATAAATCTGCAAGTGGAGAAGCCTGAGCCAGACACTTCCCACTGATCCTGCCAGGGGTCCTGACCTGGGGGGTCTTTACCTGTCACTGCTGGGCTTTGGGGTGTCCACCCTGCTGGTCTTGCCCAGCTTCAGCTGAACAGAATTCGCAGCAGCTGCTTCCATCATTTTCTGGGACTCCTGAAAAGAGACGAGTCAAGTTCTCTCTTCTTGATCCAAGAGAGAAAAAATGAAATTTCAGTAAAAACCTGGCAGGCTGCCCTCTCCTCTGACCCACAGCACTCTTAGCAGCAGGTAAAGATCTGTGTGTGTGTTTGGGGTTAGTGACACTGCTGGGAGCAAACCTTCACAGAAATATATAATTATTTTTATTATAAGGCTCATTTTAAAATTATAATGATGTCTCCGTTCTGGTGTGAAACTCTTTCAGAATTTAGGGGGAAACGTTCAGAATATGGGATCCAGGCTGTGAGATCTGTTTGTCTCAGTTCTGATGTTCCCAACAGCTGCTGCCCAGAGGAGCTGTGGATTCCCCATCCCTTCCCCAGCCTGGCAGGGCCAAGGCCAGGCTGGACGAGCCTGAAGCACCCCAGGATAGTGGGAGATGAACCCGCCCAGGGCAGGGGTGGCACTGGCTGGGCTTTAATTCCCACCCAACCCATTCCATGGCCCCACAATTCCATGATCTAAGGATGAGCTGTGACAGGAACAGGGAATCTCACAGCCCAGGGGAAATGTCACTGTCATAATTTCTGGAAAAATCCCCTTGCCCAGGATTCTTCTCCTGGGAAGCTGTGAAGCCTCAGAGAAACAGGAAAGCAATATTATCTCATTTGCTTCTCCTGTGTTTTGCTGCTTTGGAATGTGGTTTGGACACTGTTTACCAATAGGTGACTGTTTCATTGGTTTCATGTGAATTGTTTTTACTTATTGGCCAATCACAGCCAGCTGTGTCGGGATTCTGGAAGGAGTAATGAGATTTTCTTTAGCATCTTTTAGCCTTCTGTCTGTATCCTTTCTCTATTCTTTAGTGTAGTTTTACTATAGCATTCTTTTATATAATATACATCATAAAACAATAAATTAGCTTTCTAAGAGCATGGAGTCAGATTCATTAATTCCTCCCAGTCACAGGGGACCCTGAAACTACCACAAGGATATTCCCAGCTCTTGGTGTTACCTCCTCTTCTTTGGCTTTATTTTTGGCATCATCCAACTTCTTCTTCTTGCTTTCTGGCATGAGATCATCCAGGAAGCTGAGCTCCCGCTTGGAGAAGCACAAATCCATCACTTTCCGAACAAAAACAAGAGCCAAGACCTTCAGGAAGGAAAGGGGAGATGGGTGAGGCCAGACATGGTGCTTCCATCCCTCCAGGGCTGTGAGCATGGGGGGCAGTGAGGGGCACCAGGAGCACCAGGAACAGTGGGAATACTGGAAACACTGGAAACAGTGGGAACACTGGGAACACTGGGATACTGGGAGCATCAGGAACACTGAGATACTGGAAATACTGGGAACACCAGGAATACTGGGAACACTAGGAACACTGGGATACTGGGAATACTGGGAACATCAGGAACACTGAGATACTGGAAATACTGGGAACATCAGGAACACTGGGACACTGGGAATACTGGGAACACCAGGAATACTGAGAACACAGGAAACACCAGGAACACCGGGAACACTGGAAATACTGGGATACTGGGAACAGTGGGAACATTGGGAAAAATGTGAGCACTGGAATAATGGGGATACTGGGAGCACTGGAAATACCAGGAATACTGGGAGCACCAGGGATATACTGGGAACACTGGGAATACCAGGAATACTGGGAATACTGGGAATACCGGGGATACCTTGAATACTGGGAACACTGGGAACACCAGGGACACCAGGAACACTGGGAACACTAGGAACACTGGGATACTGGGAATACTGGGAACACCAGGAATACTGGGAACACTGGGACATTGGGAACACTGGGAGCACTGGGGATACTAGGAGCACTGGGAATACTGGGAATACCGGGAACACTGGGAACACCGGGGACACCGGGAACATTGGGAACACTGGGAATAATGGGAATACTGGGAACATCAGGAACACTAGGATACTGGGAATACTAGGAACACCAGGAATACTGGGAACACTGGGAACATCAGGGACATTGGGAACACTGGGAGCACTGGGGATACTGGGAACACCAGGAACACTGGGAACACTGGGGATACTGGGAACACTGGGAACACCGGGATACTGGGAATACTGGGAACGCTGAGAACACCGGGGATATTGTGAACACCAGGAACACTGGGATACTGGAAACACCGAGGATACTGGAAACACTGGGAACACCAGGGAACGCTGGGGACAATGGAAACACCGGGAACACTGCGATACTGGGAACACCAGGGAACACTGGGGACAATGGAAACACCAGGAACACTGGGATACTGGGAACACGGAGGATACTGGAAACACTGGGAACACCGTCCCTCACCATCATGGGGAAGATGATGGCGGCGCGGGAAGCTTTGATGGCCCAGAGCAGCACGAGGCAGAGCAGCTGGATGAGTGTGAACAGGTGCACCTTGCGCAGGGGCACGTGGCGCAGGTAGATGAAGTCGGGCTGGTGCTTGGCTGGCATCCAGAACAGCTTCAGGCGATCAAAGAACTGCAGGGAAAAGAGAGAACTGCTGGAGGAGTGATAAAACTGTCTTTTGTCTCTTGAAAAAGGAAGAAGCTGTCCCAGATTGCAAGGCAAGATGTATTCTATTTGCCATCTGTATGGCAGTTGTCTTTTATCAAGTGGGCAGTTTTTCCTTATCTCTTCC